AAGCGCTGACTATCAACTGAATTTTTATTAAAAAACAGCTCAAAACAAGACAACACCATACAGCGAACCAACGCCGAAACAACCAATGGCGTGTCGCTTACCATGCATCTATAAATTCGATCTCTTTTTTGTGCAGATAAACCAAAGGCTGGCTGACGCAGTGCCGCGCGCCAGCTTTTTCGATAGCATGCGCCTCCAGCACCTCTCTTTGCGCTTTTGTGCGCCCCCTGCCAATGATTAAGGTATCTTGGAAGACGGGGTGACACTGGCAGTCTCTGCAATGTACGTATAAGTGACTTCCTGTCATTGACCGCAGGGAATTCGCATGCTCACGCATTCTCTCGTTGACGCAGCGTCCCGATTATATAAACCCGTCCGCATGGCAATGGAATTTTGTAGATGACACCCACAACGCAATCCACGAACTTGTTGACATGCTTAACCATATATGACATCACGCGCGGGCAAAGTTGTGCTAATTACGGCGCGCAAAAATACGTCGTATTTTTTCGCGCTGTTTCTAATTACTTAGGAGGACGAAGGAGGAGGAAATAAGGAGGGAGAAGGAAGGAAGGGGGAAGAGGGGCATACCGCCCTCTCAGTTACAATTGAAAACGAGCATGTTGGTTAATAGACCTTCGGATAGACTGCGCTCGAGGGCAAAGGAACTTTGTTCCTCTTTGAACCTAACCTCTCTTAAGAACGTCATCGGCAGTCCTGCCAAACAGTATTTGCCTGTGTTCTTTACTGCAAAGACTCACAAGTATGCAGTTTCCTTCAAAAGCCTAATTTCAGAAATTGGCTGTTGGCAAAAACCTCTGGGTCGTTATCTACAAAAACATCTGTCTAATATCATCCTCCCTATGTATTACAGCCTAGAACCAAAACTCAGCTTATGTGACTAATGCGATCCATGAACACGGAATTTGCGACTTTCAAAATTCCTTCTGTGTTTCGGTTGAGGGCTCCACCGACCTGATAAATATTTACCTCCTGTCCAACTTACTAGAATACGAAGGAAATATTTACAGGCAGTAGAAGGGAGTTTGTATAGGCTCTTGCCGTGCACCTGTCCCTAGTGAAATATTTCTGTTTGTTGGCAGGGCTAACAACGGTCAGTTGGACAAGTCCTTCCAGGGTTGCCTAGTGTTTAGGTACGTTGATGATTACTTGGTCATTTATCCAGACGCTGTGTCCGCTTACAGCATTTCTGAAATTTTCTGACTGTGCGGCGGGGCTAACTTTTACCCGGGAAAGTCCTTCTACGGAAGGATTACAATTCTTGGATTTACAATTACATCTTCATTCCTCATGTGTTTGTTGGGCCTTGCAGCAGAAGTCGAAAAGCCAGTCTTCTCTTTCACCAATGCTCACTCCAAGTCAGTTAAGCATGCCATAGTGAGGTCACTTTTCAAGCACTCATTCACCAAGTCGTGCACTCATTTCTCTGAAAGTAGCACCAAGATGCAGCAGCAGAGGTTGGAAAAAGCAGGCTTTCCTGCTGACCTACCTTGTCCCCCCCTTGAGAGGTTCCTTCTCAAACCACAACTTCGGCAATCTGTTTCCAAAAAGAAAGGTCGTTCAGCTGTGATTCCCATACGCGCAATTCCGCGCACCGTTTAAGATCTATCGCGTTCAAGTTCGAAACAAGTGTTTTTCTTTCCTGTCGTATGCGCCTAACAGAGATGAGTAAAAACGTTAGTGGTAGCGACAGTCCCAGTGGGTGCAATGTAATGCATGCCAGAAAGTTCGTAAAATCCGAAAAAAAGAAAGGTTTATTCAATTCCACTAAGCTGTGGCAGTCAGTACATTGGACAGACCGTTAGATGCGTCAACCATCGACTGAGAGAACGCAACTTGGAAACATCAGAGGCTTCAAATGAGTCGTATCACCCAACTGTCGTTCACAGCAGGCTCTCCTTATTTTTCTGCTACTAGAATACTATGCGGGCACAACAACAGATTTGGAAGAGAAATCATTGATTCAGTTGCCATGGGGACTGTAAACAACAACATTTCTGCGCCTTCATTATCATTGGCAATGACAAAGGTCGAATTCTAAGTAATCAGAGATAACTAGATTTGTAATAACCCGTCGTGACGCCAGCGCTTTTTGCACTTTTATATTTACCTTAAATTCCCTTTCCTTTAAAAAATTATCTCCCTTTCCTCTTTCAGAACGTTGAAACCATAGGGGGGGGGGGGGGGGGGGGCGGTTTTATTGTTGTGCCATTCTATGTTGTTATTAAATGAAAGATGTCCTGTTCCCGTCCTCGTCCTCGCCTTTTTATACTTTCAAGTTTCGTATCAGTACCGTTCCCTCCTCCTCCTCAAGAGCAGCGCTCTCATTCGGTGTTACAGGAAGTTTTAAATGTCTTTCGTTTTTTGTTGTTGTTTTCACAATTCTTCTGATCCCTCAAGCAGGCTCTGAAAGGTGTTTTACAACAATATAATAAATGTAATCAGAAGGAACGATGAAAGGCCCAAACAACTGAACGGAACCAATAAAGTCAAATATATATTTAATTTAAACGAGAAGCGCAACAAATATCTGTTTTGACTTCGGCTTAACTGTATCATAACTCAGGAAAGTCCATTCCACGCCTCCACTATTTGTGGAATAAAGAAAATTTAAAACCAATATTACGATATGTACCAAAAATATGAAAGAAATCTTTGCCGTGGTCTCGTCGAATACCCTCGTGAAAATGGGACGTAATTATCGAGATTTATTATTAAACGAACACGTATATTTGGCCGCACAAATTTAAGTCTGCAAACTTCATTTCTTTTTGGTCAGTAATAGAATACCAGCTCTGTGGGCTAGATAAGCAACGAATCTCAGCTTTTACGTTCAAAACATAAACGGAAATCCGGGGTCACGCTGCTTGTACACCCCCCCCCCCCCCCCCAAAAAAAAAAAAAGAAAAAAAAACAGACAGCAGAAAAAATTTAAACGCGAGTCACCGCGAGATCCGTGCTTCGAATTCCGAGTGGCACTGAGTTCAGGGAGGAAACTTAAGCTCTCGGCATTCGAACCACGGACATTGCAGTGACTCGTGTTTGCAGACTGTCTTTACATGATGTATGAGCAGTGTGACCCCGGCTTTTCGGATTTCTTGTAGCCTTTTCTAAAATCGTTGGGTGTGATTTATACAAAAGTTCCAAGCTACGTTTTATTATTCTATTATTGACCTAAAAATTGTTTTATAAGTTATGTGTAGAATGTCCCAAGCCACGAGGCTCGATTTAAAATGGACGGTGGAAACCGGTGCCTGCACAAAGCAATCTAAACTTTTCGTCAAAGATGTATTTCAGAGGTCGGATTTTGCTTGTAAAATTACAAAGCGTACCCCCTTTCTGTTAAAAAGTAGGGCCAAGAAAGTTGCCCTGGTCAACGGAGGACGCCGACGCAGACGACCGAATCGAGGGCGTATTCGGCGCGCGTATTGATAGATGGAGTCGGGAGCAGCGTCAGAAAGTGTAGCCAAAGTTACTAGATTACCTCAGTTGAAAAACTTCCGCGAAACAGGCTGCCCCACCCCTCTTTCCCTTCACTCACTTTAGTCCGCCTCCCGTCGTTCGAAGCGCCATCTAAATTTTCTATTACGAACTGTGTGTTCCATAGAGTATGGTGGAACGCCATCTTGGCGCTGCGCTTCGAAACTTACGTATCCCATAGAATACACTGCAGTTACCGAAGCAGCCGTCCGGCGCGTCGAACGACGCGAGGCGAGTCGTGGTGTGAGAGGGTGGTACTGCTCGTGTATGCAGCGTAAATGACCAATTCCGTAGCTAAGCTAATCTAAAAACGTTGGGTGTACCGGACAAGAGAAAAAGAGCAGACGACACGCAGGCGAAGTCCGTTTGCAGCAAAAACGCCGTCGTTATGCAACACGTTTTTTTTTTCTTTTTTTACATTGTTTTGTTTTTATTGTTTGCATTAACTCTTAAATAAAAGGTACTTAAAAAAAACTATGCTCATTTTAATAAATCGCGGTGGTTGCGAGCAGTCTTGCGCCATCTATTAATGCAAGCGCCAAACGCGTCCATCAAATCGAATTCGTCGTCTGCGTCGCAGCCCGCCGTTCACCCTGGCAAGTTTCTTGGCCCTATATTTTACAGAGAGGGAGCTACGCTTTCTAATTTACCAAAATACAAATCTGACCTGTATAATACACCTTTGACGAAAAGTTTAGATTGCTACATGCAGGCGTCGATTTTTACTGTCTATTTTAGCTCGAGCCTGGTGACACGGGACATCCCATGTATATTCACTGACGGCTTAAAGAGCGCCAGACGTGTGACTTACTACAGTCACTATTCTCGCTTTGTGATTCCTTTTTGGGCGTTGTTATAAAAAAAATCCCGAAATCTAATCGGCTTCGGGGCTATAATAAGACTATTGGGTCCGGCCATGCATTGTGTTGCCTAGGACGTCAGTGTCTATAGTTGGCCACATCGTATCTCGTTTTCTTGTTTCTTATCATAAACGCCCCACACCACTGCAAGCCGGGTTATAATAAAAAGTGGGTGATTGTCTTGATCTGGAATACGCCCATCCGCCCACACAGGTACAGTTTTTCTTCTTAATCGCGTCAGTTAAAATTTGGGTTTACTTCCACGACGCGTACAGCGAAATGTGACTTGTCGTTTATGTCGCTTCACTGCTGTGACATGCGTTAGTGTCTGCAGCAACCGCAGAAACCAAAGCGACGAGGGCGTCGGTAAAAACGAAGTTCATAATTGCTTTACGAAGCTACTTCTGGTATATTTTTTTTATATTCTGTTGCGTATGGCGAACATCTGCTCCACTGATTTTGTGGAGCCGCTCATGACTCAACCAACGGTGCTGTCAAAAGAATGCTTTGCTCTTAACAAAGTCATGTCAAACACGTCAGCTATGATCCGGTACAGCTGTATATTAAAAAAGAAACAAAAACAATACAAACTTCTTATATAACTTAGGCAGTGTTCAGTCGATCTCGAAGCAGCAGCGAATGTGGATAGCCTCTTCTGCAATGGGCCCGCAGTACGCTGTGTTGTTGGCGTGCGTCGTCGCGACCATGGTGTGGCATACGACGGAAGGCTGGGGACCCAGCTTTCCCTGGACGAGAAATATGACCATAAAAAACCCAGAAAACCACCCTACATTCAACGACGCAGAACTTGGGCCCTTGCAAGATGCATGGCAGGTACGTGATTAAGAAATAGAGGCTGTTTTTTTTAAGGACTTAGAGATATGTGTTAAAAAAACACATGCAAGCTACACTAATGCGGTCTTTACATGTGAGTTATACGGTCGATGGGAAGTATTATATAGGTCAATAGTTATCACGATAAATCAGTTATTTAACAAAAATAGGTCGATACACGTTTTAATGATGGAAGATAAATATATGATTCCAATCGGAGATCCTCTGAATGTCATCGAACGACGAAAACCGCTAAATGAGTAAATATTAGAAATACTTGGAATGGGTAGGAAGCTCGGTAGTGCGCTAAAGTTTCAATCATTCGGGTCTTCTGGAGGCGACATGACACCACCAGAGGTGAATACGGGAGAAACTTCCGGTTTAGAAAGACGCGCCCCCAACGTTAACCGAAACTTAAAGAAGCTTTTGGGCGTAAAGGAGGACTGATTTGGGGCCAGCAGCGGCCTGGTGTGGCTTTGGTCCCCCTTTGGGGCGTTCCACCGACCGCGTCTTCAACTTCCGGCTTCACTTGGTATTATAGAGTTTTAGCAGATCGTTTTTTCGCCCCAATTAGGATACCTCCTCTCCCCTCCCGCGGCCTTGGGCATGCATCGCATGGTTATCGGGTGTCGTTATCGGGGCGAAAAAGCGATCTGCTAAAACTCTCTATTTTATCGTTTAGTTCAACCTCGATTCCGCCTCCTGTTCTTCCTAGCTCCATGGTTACAATAGACCGATCTCACTAATGGCGCAATCACACTGACGGTTAAGATGCGTTTGCGAAGCGGTTGCGAATAAGGTTCCCAGTGACCGCGTTCAGACACACCGAGACGCGGTTGGTGGTTTCTCGACGATCATACGTGATATTTTGAGACCTGCGTTGGGCAACCTGGTTTTCTAAACCAAAGTCCAAGGAAAATATAAGAAGGGTGCAGGCGAGCTGGTGATTATCAACCATGTTGAATTGACCTGGGGTAAAGAAGAAACATCAAAACGTAGAAGAGATAGAAAATGACGGACTTCAATGAGCTGAGTTGGAGACGTCGTCCTGTCTATTTTTGTCTCTTCTACGTTCTGACGTTTCTTCTCTACCCCAATCTCAGGTTAATTCAGCATGGCCAAAGTCCACTTTAATCCAAGATTCAAGGCCAAGCTAGAGCTATTTTGGCACTCTAAAGATTTTTCTTCGGGTTGTCGTTGTGCGACGCATTACGAGTTCCGGGCAGCGGAAAAAGAGACAGGGACCTCAAAACCCACCGGCGATTCTCCCGACTTCGTACACAAGCAAAGCCCAGCCAGACGTGGGCGCGCCCTGCTGACTCAGAAAAGAACGGCACGACCCTTTCTTCGAAGTGGCCCTTCCCGCATAAATAGCTGACCTTGTTTTTGAAATAGAGGGCCAGTTCTTCCACCGCATTTTTTGCTCTTATCATTTCGGGAGCTGTGAGCGGCACTGGTGAACCGTGCTGCGTGGGAATGTGTTTGGTGCAAGCCGGTCGTGGCGTCGTTGGAGGCGGTCTCTCCTCTCGTCACTCGCACGCCGATCGAGACTTCTTGTTTTACATTAAGCTCGAATAAATGCCGTATGGATTTCTTATACATTGTCATAGAAGCACATTTTATTTCTTGAGTAGGTCCCCTTATTAGTTTTGGTAGTAGTAAACGTTACAGGTCGAGCTTGCGCCGGTACCTTGCCAGGTCGTTTGTAATGCGTTGGCTACGCTAATGGCCTCACGACGTCTTCGCAAATGGGCTGACGACACCTTCGTGGTGGTCATGCACTGTGTCGAAAGCTTTCAGTAATTCACGCGACTGTCTTAGTGGTTACAAAAGCTGACATTTTGATCGATTGGGGGCGGGTTTTGATCTACGGGCAAAGACCTACGAGGCAGAGGGCAACGGGCTCTGACACCTTGAATAAAAAAATAAATAAAAAAAAAACTCTTACCCGAATTTAATTGCCGAAGCGAAGACCGTTAAGATTACGAGTCAATTCCTTTCGCGGCGGATTGAAGTGACGGACGTGAACATCGCGTTTCTTCGTTGGGGGGATCGGTGGCCGAGTGGGCTAAAGCGCACATTCAGCTCGACGCGCGTGGAGCGAATGCTCGCGCTGCTAGAACCCAGGGATCCTGGGTTCGAGCCCCACCCCTGCCCGTTTCGATCTGGATGAGCATCGTACCGGCGTGCGTTCGTGCATCACTACTGCGTGAGCACGTTAAAGACCCCAGGTTAGCAGTCGTACTGCACTGGCAAAATTGCTCATCTACAGTGTAAACCAGTGTCGCTCCTACTGGCAGACCAACCTTACGCTGTATAAATCACTAAAAAACGTCCAATTTGACTTTTGCTTCGCTGCCTGTGAGAACCGGCCTTAAAGATGCCCTTAAGAGGTTTCTGAGATCGCCTAAATATGGCGACAACTTACTCTGCGGTCTAGGCGCATCCAGAAATCCATTATTCGTACCGATTCGCGACCGATTTCCTTTAAAAAAAAAACAATTAAAGATTGAACACAACGAGTGCATCCCTGGCGATGGAGGGAGCATTGCTCCAGCAGCCAGGATGATATGTGACCAATGAAAACACGACGTTTTGTTGAGATTGCAGATGCTGTTACTAAGAAATATGTGTGCTTTTGTAGATGGTAAAAGCAACAATACGTAGATAAAAATCTTCCTTTCTTAGAGGAGAGGGAACATAATACTGAAATAATCATCCCAAAACAATGCGCTATGTTTTTTTCTTTCTTTTTTGCGAGTGATGTGTGTGCTCGCTAGCGCTCGAGCGGGCGCTCGCTGGGTTGAATCGTAGTCCGGGCAGTATGGGCAGCGAGCCGCGCGCATTCGAGATATCCCTCCGCAGTTCCACCGATCGGAGGCGCGAGGATCCTTCGCTTGCGATTGGCTGACAGTGGTCCTCGTTTCAGAGCATGCTCCTCCAATCACCAGAGATGACTTCGGCGTGATGCGATCTTTGCTTACTTTTTAACGCGAAAGTGTTTAGGAACTCTTGTGGCAGAAAATCCGGTGTCGGCGTCGGCGTCGGTGTCGGTGGGACGGAAAAATCCTTATGGTCGACAGGTCATGACATCACAGTCCCGTGAGACGTTACGTGTGACGTCACACGTGATGTCACAAGACGCCAGACAAGATACCAACTAGGCCACGCAGACGCGCTGCACGGTTTGGGAACGAGCGCGACTCTATATGTTCAGCTATCGCGTTCCACTTTTAAAGGCGAAGCTTAAGCTTGCCTCCTGCAATTTTTCTTTTTTAAATCGGGAAATCGGCTGCGCGTCGTCATAATATGGGGATTTTTGGGATGCTTCGAGACAGCAAAGGGAGTTATCACCATATTAAGGCAATCTCAGAGACATCACATTAACTGAAGAGCGTGTTATTAAAATTGACTGACACAGAAAGAATGAAACTAACTAGGGACAAAGGACAACGAGCATTTTTTTTTCTCAACGAGCAACGACATGAATGAGCTTAAAAGCAGTTTATGCAATTCAGGGGCGTCATGGAAAAGGAGAGAAAGGGTGTGGGGTGTATTATGTGCGTGTTCGCCACGTATAGCCAACACGACCTATTCAAGCCTCCTCGGGGCACATTTAAGCACGGAGTCGGCCGCACCATATACCTTCCATCCTCATTATCGAATATGCTAGGCTAAGAGTAAGAAGGAGATACTCTTCAGATGAATGTAATAATGCTCATATCAGACATCCCGCGGATGTCTATGCCTGGCAAAAATGCTTGCCACATGGTCTATTACTGCAGCAACACTAGTCTGTTACCTGAAATATTTCAGGGCAATTGGAGTAGGCGTCGTATATCACAAGGTACGACGATTCCCACCCTTTACTACGGACTTCTGTCATGATGAGTGGTTCAGGTGGTTGCTGGTGTTCAGATGTTCTACAAGCTGCACATTTTGATATGTATGGCTCCATGTCGGCATTCATTCTTCGCCAGAATTGGCTCACGCCTAAGTGTCCTTTGTGCAGTCTTGCCAGTATGTCTGTAAGGCAAGCCTTAGAAACAACTACTCTTGAGCTCATTACCAGGACACCGTGGACCAGAGTCAAATTTGATGTACACCCCTTGAGGTTTCCCTTTTGTTCTTGACCCTGGTAGATGCGTGCGGTTACTTTTTGTAGTTCGTCACCATTCTCCATGACCTCTTGCAGTTTCTGAAGTGTCGTTTGACTCAGTGTTACGGACACTATGCTGACAGCGTGTACTTCAATATCATTTAAATCTTTCACTTTCGTTTTCGCCTCTTTCACTGGTGCTTGAAGCAACGTGTCGACTAGCACCGAGTTCTTTTCAGGTAGATAGCGCAGGTCAAACACGAACTTCATCAGGCGAATAAAGCTGCAGCCGAGGTGGCATGTTTCCAATGCTTTTCTTTGCTATTGACATCAATGGTCGATGCTAGGTTTCCAGTGTAAATTTGCGACCATTAATAAAGTCATAGAACTTCTCACAGGCGGACTTGATGGAGAGCGTCTTTTTTATTTTTATTAGAGCATATCGCACTTCACAGTCGGTCATCACTCATGACGCATAGGCTACTGCATGCCACTCTGTATCATTCAGCTGTAGGAGTGCCGCCCCCAATCCATACTGTGATGCATCACCTGTCACTTTTGTCGTCTTTTTGGGGTCAAAAAATGCTAACACTGGCTTGTTAGCCAGTCTTCTCTTCAGGCTGTCCTATGGTTTTTTGTGCTCTTCCTTGGAGCAACCCCATACGTGTATATCATCAACTCCAGCCTTCAAGTCCATCAAAACCCTCGGTCCTGATTTGTTGAACTGAGACTTCCGGTGAACATGAGATAGCAAATGGCAGTCTCAGAAATCGGTAACGTTCAAATGGCGTACCAAACGTGCACACTGGAGACGATTTCTGATCTAGTAGTATTTCTTGGTACCCACTATTGGCATCCAGCCTTCAGAAGAACTTGACATTTGCCAGTTCTGCTTCAATTT